CATTATCCTGAGATATTTGAAGCATTCAATGAACTTGAATTATTAAACCAACATAACGAATTAATTATATATAAAAGAATAATAGTCATAATTTCCAGGATGAATACTTCGTCTTTATAAACAAGTACATTTATGTGCGAATTCAATACGTGCTCATACGAAATATGATTGTATTGTATCTATTTGAAATTGTTATATTAATTTGAACACAAATCAGTAAACATAATCGTAAACGCGCACTCATAATTCCAATATGCTTTTATACTAATAAATATAGCTGCATCATAACCGTACCGTTAAGCAAGAACTTTCATATTATTTTTCCTTCGATAGTCATCATCTTTTTAACAAAATTTATCTGTGACTTCTTATGATTTTGCAACTTTGTTTTCTTTTTATCTTCATATCTTATGTGTATCGAAAAAAGTTATAATCACAAAAAATTTTCTTTCTACTTGGAAATAAAAGTTAATAAAAAATTTTAATAATAAAAATCAATGATTTTAATCTAAATTTTTCGCGTTTTCTATTGTAATGTAATAAATATTTTTTTCCTGCTATCGAACTAAAATAGTAATCTTAAATTAATTTTAATTTAATGATGAAATGTTGAATTTGAAAATAAATTGGAAATCTAATAAATAATTTTAATAATCAAATTTAATATTTATAATTATAATATATATATAATACACATATAATGAATTTATTAATACACAAAATAATTCATAATTATATTAATTTAATTATAATAATATTAATTTTTATCGAATTATTTTTCATAAAATATTTTGAAAATTCTATCAACACAAGGAAAAAACGAATGTTCAGTGTCATTGAAAAGAGAAAATACCTACATAACATATCTACATATGTCATTAAGTTTATCTGGCGATTACGTAAGAATAGGCCGGGAAGTACATATAATACTTACACATATGCGAATGCATAAATATGAGTAGTCACATCCAGTTAAGAAATTAATTCAAAAAAATTTGTCATAAATCTTGTTGTCTTTTTCTTCAATTTTACTTGTTTTTCTTCTTCTTTCTATCTTTATTAAAATATTGTCTTTAAAGTTAAGTTTTTGTAAGTTTCTTTTTTATTGTTTTGTTTTAACTTCCATCCTCAAAAATTAAATTTATATATAATGCATTATTGTATAAAAGTTAATATTTTTTAGGAATAAAAACAAATTTAAAGATGATAACAATTAATTTAGAAGCAATAAGTAAAAATTTTAATAATTGAAAACGCAATATTCATTACATATAAAAATTTAAATTTCATTTCTATTTCAAAAAATAGATAAATAACAACATTGAATACATTGTATAAATATTTTCAGTCTAAAATATTTGAAACGGAAAAAGATAATTATCTTTAAAAATTCTAACATATAAATACCAAATAATGTATAAAAAGTGAATAAATATAAGTGAATAATTAATGTGTGTACAAAACCAGCATTGATATCTATCTTAGTTAAAAATAATTGCAGTTTGAAAAAAATCTTGTTGCGAAGATTTCTATTACAAACAAAGCAGAAAAGTAAATTCTTTCTTATGATGAAATGCGAACGATATTTAAGAATTGGCTTTTATCAAATATTTAAGAAATAGCTATTTTTAATGGAATTGCTGCAGTAATGGCAAGATTAACGAACCTGCTGAACATTAATATCAGCTTGAAAGTTTGTCGAATGGAAGACGGAAAACTGAAAAGTAGAATAATTATGGGGAATAGACAGAGAGTAATTCATTCTCATCGGTTATTAAAAAACTTATTAAAAAGAGAGACTGAGAGCAATGCTGTTGTATGATTCGAAGGCCGCTACTGCCCTCTAAAATTAACGATGATCCATCGCGTAAATCCACTAGGGCGAAAGTCCGCTTCCTCTAGAAGGGTCCGTATAGTATACTGCGCTTCCGTGTAGCAGTCAATTTGTTTTGAACGCACTTTATGCCTGAATTGATATATCGATATATTTCGAAGAACACATGATTTCTCTATGATTCATGTCTTATGAATAATATTTATTTTATCGTCGAACCAATTCGATATCGAGAAAGAATTTTATAACTTCTTTGATAATTTCTGTGAATTTTTCCGCGATCGATAATATAATACTGCATCTTTTTACTTTGTGAAATCATGTATAAGTTAGGTTAGGTGGCTCTGTGTGGTTCAATACATGAAACTTGAGTTGTAACTTTACATTATAATACTTTTAACTGTAATTCCATGTATGTTGAATTGTGAAAAGATATAGAAATTGATGTATGTATGTTTTTTTTATAATTCTTTAGCAAATTCGAAGACAGTTGTTCATAGTAATAAATTATGATAGAACAATAAAACAAGAGAAAAACAAATGTTTTTAGCACTTATGAGGCATCATTATATACATTAAATCATAATAACAATAATAAGAAAGATTTTTATTCTGATATTCTGATATATTTTCTCACAACGCGATCACTTACCACATTTTTGATATATTAGTATTATTTGTTGTTACAGTTTCTTATAAATATCGATATATTTCAACTTTATAGTGCAAATATTAATATTTGAACAATACTTAAACTAATCTCATTATATTATGATATTTCTTTATATTATATTATGTTATTCTAACATAACATTTTTTATCTATCATTTATCTATATTTATTATTTTAGATATCCCATAACAGAGCATCAATCACTGTAATGAAATTGAATTATAAAACTTTCTTAGTGATTAATCCTATTTACGATTAACAAAGCACGGCAATAAGAGCATAATAAAATAGTAAATGATGAAAATAAAAAAAATAAATAATAGAAAATCGAATAAAATGGTGAGTAAAACAGTGGATAAAATACCACTGTTTTTATAAGATAAGGAATGCAATGTGCGACTAACATTAGTATTTATTTATGTATTCAGATATTTTATAGTAATTTATGATCGGATTCAAAAATAGAATTTTCATTTGAATAAGTTTAAAAAATTTACTTTGAAAAAAGATTAATATTATACATATGATTGAAACTGATACAAATTTTGTGTGTAAGAAATTAATTATAGCATTGCATTTTTTAGTTTATCCATATTTTGATTTTTCACTTAAGTATTTACTTTAATCTTTTTAATTCTATGAACGAAACGGGATATCTGAATGCGAGACAAAATGGAATACTTCGTAAAAATAAAAAAACAAGAACATTTACAATTTCTTTTAAATCTTCTATTTTGATTCTCCAAAAATAAAATAGAAAACTAAAGAAAGACAGAAGATGGGGGAAAGTTTATTACATCTACTTTCTTTTTCTTCTTATAAAGAAAAATTCAAATATAATAATATAAAAATAATAATTCTTATAAGATTACAAATATAAAAGATTTGATATAATATGTTTAGTTTATCAAATACAGAAAAATTATATGTGAGATAAAAATTATATGTGTAAGATTTTTATTAACAAACTATACATTTTTGACATCTAACTTTTTTTATTTAATTCTTTCCTAGGTCAGCAGATTCGCGACGATTAAACTTATGCAGTGTGACGACCGAGCCGTTCGACCTACTTCGTAAAATAACGCGATGGTAGGCGTACTTACCGAAATGTAGGACAACGGTATTCACGCGCAGGAAGCAGCGCAATTATGGATACACGAGAGAACGCGAGCGACCGCGCACGCGTGATTCTAACCTCCGCAATTGTGCCTCCTGACACGACTCTACCGTTGTGGAAAAATACGGCCGCATCGTCGTCACACATTCTAAACCAACTATCTGCATGTCTTGAAAATCTTCCGTTTCTTCAAATTTTCATTATTGAGCAAATGGATTTGCATATGCTTTTACATTGGTATCTAATATTTATATTAATATTTATTGGATCGCACTTATTCTAATTGTTTTCTTCTTTTTTTTATTCGAATTTCAGATGAACATTTACTTATTATATTACGACCTTTTCTATTATTAAAGTTAATGTTATAATATAATAATAATAACTCAAAAGTATGAAAATTTTCACGTTATAAAATAAATTGTACAAAGAGAAAATACTGTAGCTAGCGAGTGGCGAGGAACGCGACCCTAATATTCAGCTCTGCGGAGATGAACGCTAAAGTTGATCTAGTAAATTTGCGCGTCCGTTTCATAGATGCGTTGGCCCAGTTTGTAGTGGCTATGAAAGCAAGGAGCACCACGATGAAAGTTAGAGAGAGGGCGTGATATCTGTGTCATCGCACAAGCGCCGTGCTTCAGTTGAGTACGATTCACAGTGATGTTCTTGGCTCGTTTGAGGGTCGTGTATCCAAGAAATGTTCCATCGAAATATATATTTTATTTATAATATTCGAATATTCTATTTTTCCCAATATTTTTTGTATCTTCATAAATCGAGACGAATCTAGTGAAGAAATAAAATAAAGTTCGCGACCTTGACAATATACGATAAATAATTTGCGCTGTTTCATATCGCCATTAATCAATATATAATCTAGCAATATTATATTTTATTATCTATAGTAGTGCTAGTAAATCAGATTGGATTAATATTTAATAATTTGAGATTTTTCTCAAAAGCAAAGAGGCTCTATTCAAAATTAAATTGAATGCTTTGAAAATTAGTAACGATGACGAGAATTGTATTCTTCCGTAATAGCTTTTGCTCAAAGAGAATTCGTTCGATGAATCTCTAAAAATCTCTTTCTGTGTGTCGATTCATCTGCTCGACCCTGCCACGATAATTCGTTCTCTAGTGGAGCGCTTACGTAAGAAAGCCGTACCTACCTACCAGCCCACCTCCTAGCTATTCAAGGGATCAAGGCAAACCGGTAGGCTGAACAGGCAGGCAGCCAGGCAGGCCAGAAGAAACGGGCAAGCAGAGAGCAACTAGAGAGGAGGTTGGCTGGCAGGCAGGCAAACTAGGATGCAGGTAGATAAGTAGGTAGGTGGGCACACGTGAACGCGCGTGCGCATACTCTCTGATAAACCTGCCAAACGGATAGAGTCTGCAACAACGGAAATATCTCTCCGCTCCTCCTCTGACGCCAGTATGTCCTCTTCTTTGCTATCTTTTTCGTTTCCTGCTCCACCTCCTATTGCCGGATTGAAGGTTATGCATTGTCAATCATATAACTTAGGCATTTGCTTTCATTTTCTCCTGTTAATTTGTTTCACCAATTAATTAATGCAAAATGGAATACGAATATATTTTTTTTCTCTTTTTCAACTCTTTATTGACAAATATTCATGAAATATATTGATTGTTTATTGAATAATTTATATATTGTAAAGAGATAGTAAAAGAATAAATAAAATATATAATATTCTTATGTAAAAAATTTGCTTTCTGATTCAAACGAAAAAATATCTTATTAACAAGAGTGAATTCCGAGAATTAAAGTACTGTCATTATTAATATTCTTATTAAATATTCTTAGAATCCTAATGAAACTTGTATATTTTTTTAGACTTTTACGATGCCAATACTAATGTTACGAATACTGTATTTAATTTTAAAACAACAATAACGTTTTCATCATAGTGACTATTTTATTTTTATTATATATTATAATGTTGCAATATTTATGCAACATTGTTATGATTCTAAAATCATTCATTGATGAATGGCAATATAATTTTTGTTTTATAGAAATTTCCATGTACTTTCTACCAAGATAAATATCAAAAGAAAATTAATATAAAAATTGAATTCATATTTTTTTACTAACTTCATATTTTTTCCTTTATATTTCTTTAAAATTTCTTTCTGGTAAAATAAATTAGTTAAATGATTATTTTTCAAATATATAAAATAAGAATTATGGTAAAAGAATACTAGAAACATAATTCCGACTTTAAAGAATTAAAAAATTCTAAATGATGATCAAAAAAAATCTATTTTTGATGAATATATCTCATGGTATTTGTTAATTTAGCACCATTCATATTTTTTTTCTCGGTTTTTGAAAAATCTATCTAATTGCGCCATAAATAATTGCGCCTAGTCATAGCACATATTACATAACGTCTTGATTTTAGAAGAATAACGTGCAATCCCAATAAAGGAAATTAGAGACACATCTAATTGAAAGACTAAGTAAAAATGTAATCTATACCATCTTTAATAATTGAGATGCTACTAAGAATGGTATATTGAGAAATGCTATTTGAAAAATAATATGCTAACATAGTAAAAATATTGTATGTGAATATTTATCTATCTTATATTATCTTATATCAAAAAAATATAGATAAATAATTCTTTATTTTTAAAAAATTAGTAAAACAAATTATAAATGACGAGAGAGAGAAAAAAATCAAAATAAATAACAAAGGAAACAAATAATAGATTATTATAAAATTTAATCTTATAGATTTATATGTACATATAACTATACATAGATATATATTTATTGATATGAATAATGTATAAAAGCATTTATCATTTACATGTAAAAACGTAAGTATATGTATTTTATAGATATACTATACCATACAGTAATGCACTTGCAATTAACTGGTCATAACCAGTTGCCTATTCAGACAGAAACAGTAACATAACCTATTTCGCCGTTTATTAGGAAAGTGCACCGGTTCGTTCCAGTCGAATGAATGAACCTGTAGATACGTATTATTTATCACTCTGCTCAAAGTAGTTACTATACTATACTATAGAACATTGCGAAGCAACTAATATATCGTGATGGTAGATAAAGGACCGTTTGTCGTACAATGGGAAATTTTTAACGGCGATAGTGAGTAAATTATTCCACTGCACAATCACAAAATCAAATTTCTCGACATTTATTATGAAACGAAAAAAGAGAATCTCTTCTACTAGAAATAACATTGTCTAGATGCATTTGATTTCTTATGCATAATTTTCATAAAGGTAGACATCGTCAAATTTGATAAGAATAAATATTATTTGTATTTTTAGCATCGTATACATTTTTAATATAAATATTATTTGTTTCAGCATCATTATCGCAATATTCAATTGCTAAAATAAAAAACTTTATACATTTGCCATTATAATGCATCTACTTTGCACATTATATAGGAATGTATCGAAATAGCAAATTTATACGTATGAAGACTCTGGCGGTGGGACGTTGGCCAGTAATTGGGCCAGTAAAACGGGTCAATCGATTTTGTCGCGAAAAAGCTTGCGGTCCAAAAACCTATTTAGCTCGACGAGAGGAGGAGAGGGTTCACAATACACCGCAGTGACTCAGCTTGCTTCTTTGTATTCTTTTTTGATCGTTTGTCTTTGAATTCCATAATTGTTCATCATGCACAACTCATACGTTCATTGGTCATTGTACTTCCGTTTAATGTCCCCATGTTTGTTATAAGCTCTCGTAAAAAAGGACGCAAGCAGCTGACCTTGATAATAAATATAATATCTTTCATAGTTACTCGATCTAACAATTATGAGAAACAAAAATTAAAATAAATAATAGTAAGCTATAACAATATGTATTTATTCATTAGTATTAATTCGTTATTAAATCACAGTATAAAAAACATATATATCGCATATTGTATAGTTACTGGAGACATGAAATTATATCCTTATTTTATCTCTGATTTTATCTGTTGACAGCGATGATTGTAAAGAATGACAATTAATGAAAAATGAACAGAGATTTAAAGCCTAAACATTTAAAGAAATTTATGTTCTTATTCTATCGGCATGAAATTACTCGTTTCATTGAATTCAAAAAAGATTTCATAGCTCGAGCACATATCAAATGAATAAAAGAAAAAATTAATATTTATAAATTTTGTAAATTTTGATCAAAACTTGATGAATAAAAAAATGTAATGTATAATATCAATTTCTTACTGCACAAATATTGTACATCCATATTTCATTGAAATTCTAATTTTTTATATACAATAAATAATCCTTCACTTTTCTTCATCTTATACATATAAAAGTCACATTTACAATTCTATTCGATAGATTTATTAAAACATTACATCTTATTCTACATCATATTCTTGAATCCATATGTACATCATCGAATCTTTAAACCTGTTTTCCCGAAAACACTGAAAAAGCGGACATTTCTGCAATAAGCCATCAAATATACATCACACACGAACACGCACGTGTAACAAGGAAAGAAATAATGATTAAGAAAAACCAAAATGAGACATGACAAGTGGCGTGATTGCGTAATTTCCGGGAAGAAGTGATCGCAGCGAGCCGGGACCTCAAGCTCTTCTTGAAGGAGTAGAGTGGCGTTCGTCCTTGAGGCGCCCTTGGTACTGGCTGTGGAAGCTAAATCGGCCCGTGGAAAGCTGTCGAGTTTGGCGAGTGTAGGGCGTGGTCTAGCGAGGCACCCGGTGACCTCCTAGCCAGCTAGGCGGCCATCTTTGAGCATCGAGTCGTCCGGGCGTGCTGCGAGGGTGAAAGTTGGGGTGGGTTTTCGGTGAAGGATGGAAGCGTAGCCCGGTTTGTGAAATCCTCTCTCTCTCTCTCTTTCTTTCTCTTTCTCTGCTGCGCGTATGGCCTCGCTCTGCCAAAGGAGACGCCCTCTCCCACGCCTTGCAACACTTCCTTTTCTTTGCTCTCTTCTCCCTCGTTCCCTTTCTTCCCACCACCGGAAATCTTCGCTTTCGTTTTCCTTCTCCTCCTTCATTCCTTCATTTCACACCATTTCGGCCATTCGTCTTTCATATTTCGAAACGCTTTTGCGTGTACAGGGTGTAATATATGTATCTTTGGAGAATCGATTTTGGACAGACCAAATTATAAAGAAAATACAGAGATATTTATGCAAATTTTGAAGATTATGAAGATTATTTATAAACAACTTAAATTTTGTAACTTGATAACTCAATTAATTTTTTTAATTATGTTTCTTTTGGTCTCTAAAGATATCTCATGAAATATAGTAATATTCTATATATATATATATATATTAAATTTTATTCTGTGTAATGTAACTTCATTACTGCAAGAGGTTATTTTATTGACCGAAATAATTAAGTAGAAAGTGATGCTGGTTTTTAACCTCTATAAAAACTATTTCGATGCATCATTAAGTTTATCATTAAATGCGTACTTTGCACTTTATTATTGTAAATATTTTTTTACGTATTCGCGTAGTTTCACATTTTTTGTGAATTCTAAGAAGTTTCCATATTACGGATATTAAATAAGAAGTATTCCATCTTTTTATATTTCTTTCAGTTTGTTTTCTTTGTGAAAAAATAACTTTTAAGTAAATTTGGTTTTTGAGAATGTTTTTTATATTCTTTTCTGAAAAGCTATTTTTTTATATTTTCTAATGATACTCGATGAATAGGAACGAATTATACATAGACTCAAAATTGTTACGTAGATAGATATAATATATTCTTTAAATAAAAAACTTATCTGCTAAAAAAATACAAAAAAAAAATTAGAAAAAGCAGTGCTTCAAAACGTTTCATTAAAGCTTAAATTCACACAATGGGTTCGAAAAATAATTTATCATAAAAATTAGTATAACTATCTACTATTGTAACAAATAATCATAATTTAACAATAAACAAAGATCAAATCTCTCAGAACGCGACGAAAACGATTTTATTTTTACGAATCTTAAGAAACAAGTCATAAATCGTAAAAATTGTGATATATAAAATTTAATTGACTGGAGAGAATGTACGCCGATACGAATAATCGTAAATTTATAATCAATAGTCACAAAGATAAATGAAATCGTTTGCATAAAATATTACAGAGTTTAATAGCTATTGAGTTTAATAGCAATAGATCTTTTATTCTAAGAAACTTCATGATACGAAAGATATATCTCTTTTTAAAATTATAAGTTTTTTTCTCTGCAACAAATAAAAACCTTAATTTTAGTTATTTCTTTCTTTACATCTTTAATCAATTTGAAAATTCTAATTACATATCTTTAGTTATTTATATAATAATATAATATATATTTATTTTAAAATATTCTTCAAATATTCTTCATTTAAAAACAGGATACGAAACTCAAAGATATGAATATTTGATATTGTTTGCGGTGCATTATCGAATTTCCGATGTTGATAAGGATATTCTTTCTGCTCTTTCACCTACATTTACCATGCTATTCGATATTATATTAACGTACTTCCGAAAAGTTTCTACAATGTAGATTTAGCACGTTGCAAAAACTCGATATATGTGGGTATTATTTATTTTTCACAAGTTCAAAGCTCAAAATCGATTGTGAGTATGTATGTAAGTTATATATGTAACTTGGAATTTTCTTTCATCTTTATCAATAATTTCGAACATAGAAAATGATAGCTAACGAAAAACAAAAAAAAAAAAAAATTGAAAACCCAAACATTTGAAAAAATTTATATTATAGTTATATTGGTTTCCGTGTGATATTATTCATTTCTGAATACTTACAAGAGGGATTCTTCCTTTTGTCAGTGATAGAGATAACGCATGAGCACATATCCTCGACTATACATATAACGAATAAATATATAAGTATCGAAATGTTTCATATAGAAACGTAAAGTTCATAGCAATGTTCTTCTGATGAGGAAAATGAGTGATTTTTTCGATAAAAAACATTATCGAAGTACAAAAGTCAGAAATAGATGATAGAAAAAAAAATAATAAAAAAAATGCTGATGTATTTGATTACCATTTTATCTTATAAATACATTACATTTTTTTGTTTACTAATTACAGATATTAATTATATATACTATATATTATTAATTATATATACTATAATTTCATATGCAAAATATTGTATAGTTTTTTGATTATAACACTTTTTAAAAAGTATACTTTTTTAAAAAAAAAAGTTTGGTTAAATCAATCGTTGTATAACATCGATTTTATAGATATGTGCACTATTATTAAAATTCAAGCTTCGAAGAATGATTGTTTCGATAATCAAAATAAAAATAAAGATTTTGTGTGAGTTTAATCACCTCAAATAGTTTATATGAACTATTCAAAATAACGATAGTTTGAAATCAAGTAATAATTATAAAGCGCTTTATAATTATACAAATAATTTGAGTCAAAACGAATTTGCATATCTTTTCTTTAATGATATCTCACAATATCTAAGCTATTCAAATTATACAATTAAACATCGAATGAAATTTGAATTAATAAAAATATCGATTATATGTTTTAGAAATGAACTGGAAACGATGATTTGACAAAAAAGGAAGTAATAGTCGATTTTTGAACAACTTTATGAAATGTAAAATATAGTGTGTATAGCACGGTCGAGGATCCGAAGGTTTTTGTTCTCTTTCGCTTGTTCAAGGCCTGGTTGCCTGGTGTCTACCCCACCACTGGATTCTTATACTTATATCACATCATTTCATTCTCCTCTCCCCTCTCCATAAGTTCTTTACGTAGAGAAACCTCACTTCTTCTTTCTTTATCTCTATTCTTCCGTTCTTTGTCTCTCCAACTTATTCTTTAACCGCCTTGGACTTTTGTGTCTAGCGATAGCTATTCTTCACCTCTTAAATTCTTGAATTTACAAGCGTGAAAATCGAAGATCTAGATGTTTGATGTCATTTGTAAAATAATCATTGATAATTTTTTCCGTAACATATATAGAAAAATGAAAAATATATTTTGATAATTTTTTCCGTAACATATATAGAAAAATGAAAAATATATTAACAAGGTGAAATACGTTATATAATTTCGTCTCCTATGTACACGACTTCTACTAATTGCACTTTTACATTAATATTATTTGAATTATTAATATATAACGTAATTAATTTGTTTTACGTAGTTTAAAAAATTTGATGTATCTTAAGGCTATCGCTACCACATCTCTTCCTTTTCATCCTCGATTCTCCTTCCCACTGTCGCTCAACACGCTCCTTATCCCTACTCCACTCTTCGTGATGATCCGCGATCTTTACGGATACTCCTTCCCCCGCCGTTCAACCGTTTCGCAATGATGTCATCCACAACATTGGCGTAGACATTGAGAATTTTTAAATGATAGAAAATATATAAACATATAATAAAATTTATTACTTTAAAAGTAATAAGTTTCTTATAAATTTATTATTGTTAATAATAAATGCTTTTTAAAAATAATAATGAATAGTTAAAACATATGGTAAAAATGATAAAAATTTTCGTCATGTCATTAGTGTTGGAATGATATAGCAAAAACAAAACTTGTATTTCGTGGATTAAATCGAAACCTGAAGAAGACGAATCAAGTTATTAACGTTATGTAGTTTTAGATTATTCATCTAAAAGAGTTTAATCCTTTTTCGAAGCTAATGAGATTATCAAGACGAAGATATAAATGTCCGTTTTAACAAGAAATTTTTCACGCTTTTGTCATAGATTATCTAAAAAATAAAAATGGTATTTGCAAATGAACTAAAATTACGTGGCTTTAAATAAGCAAACAGTCTTGGAATATATATTTATTTTTAAATATTTTTGCAAAAACTTGACATT